GTAGAGAGGAGAGGAGTGGAGCCACTGCATCTGGTGTGCCCTGATAGAGGGACCAGAGTTTCTCCGCTCTGACTGATTCCATCATGCAGAACTAGACCCCAGCATTGTCAGTCTTCTGACATATGAAACCAGGCTTTTTTTTTTTAAATATTAGTACCAAAATCAATTAAAAAATAAGAAGCCAGATGTGGTGACACACACCTGTAGTTCCAGKACTTAGGAGGCTGAGGTGGGAGAATCACTTAAACCCACGGAGGCCATCCTGGGCACCTTAATGAGACCCTGTCTTCAAAAACGAAAGAAAGAGAGAACACCCTAATAAAGAAAGCCTGCTTACAGGCTGAACACTGTCCCAGGCTGGTGGTGGCTACTGGTGGGAGACTGTCCAGGACGCAGAGGATGGGTGCCCCTGGCAGGTGCTGCATCACTGTGAAAGACTCACCTGGTCCGTTGTAACCACTTCAAGAGTCAGGAGAGGGTAGTGCGTTAGGAACTTTTTATCACAGGGAATGTCAGTAGTTCTTAATCTGTGTCATGGTCCCTTCTAAGAATCTAGTAAAATCTCCAGATTTCCAGCCAAGGAAATGCCTTGCATTTAGGCAGGGYGTGGAAGTCAAACCTAAAAAGCTCTTGGGCAGATAAGGACCCAGCATAAAATTCAGAAACCTTTTGAGTGGCTCAGCCTCATAGCAACTGAGCTTTTGCTGCAGTTCGGTRGGGTTCAGCCTAGCATGTGAAACTTGCTTCCGTTTCTTGTTTTGTAGACTTTCCCAAACTCAGGAATCCTACACATTAGTTTTGCCCTAGATGGTTAATGCTGCTGATTTCATAAACAGCAGTGTATCCATGTGAATAGGGCACCAGGGTGGGAATGGAATGATTCTCTTTTTCCCAGTCCTACCAAAGTCTCCCCAGTCTTCTCCAAAGCCTTTGAGACAAAGGGAAGACAGGGGAGAAGAATAGCAGTGGGGAGTAGCATTTTAAAACATGCTTCTTCTAAAATAACTCAGGAAGAGCTACAGCCTGTTGCCATGCTGCTCACATTTGCAGAGAACAGCTGTAAAYATCCTCAGGATGAATGGACCTTCTCCTCAAAGAGACCGTTCGTTAAGCACTGCCAAGGAACTAGGGTGTGTTTACCCAAGTCAGAACACAACAGCTTGTAACTCTAGTGTCCAAGCTAGGTTTTATCACTAAGAGGCCTGCTTGCTCCTCCTCTTGTAAGTACTACTTTCTTTCATTAGTAGAAATGACTCCAATACATCCAAACAGAAGGAGTGGGAAAGAACAAATGAATTTGGCGAAGGATGTGTACTCTTTCTYTGTTAGCTTTTAGTTTTTGTGTTTATAGTAAAATGAAACTAGCAGAACTCAGAAGAGCTCAAAGTCGGTGCAGCTTCTCATTTGCACTTAAAAAATAGTTAATGGCCACTCCCAGCGTTGCAAAATAAAATTTATGAAGTACACCTTTGATGTCAGTGTGGGATTTGTTTTCCCCCAGGAAAAATTAACTTTCAGATCTGGTAGGTGAGGAACTGCTAGTGTATTCTAGTTTTTAAAAGGGTACTTCATGAGAAATGAATTTCAGTATACATTGTTTATAATTCTCTGCAAGTAGCTGACATCCATAGATTTAGTCTCATTCTCATTCCCAGTTGCAGTTTTTATCTCTAGCTACTCACTAGACATTTCTACCTGGGGTCTTGTAATTACCTCAAGCTCTCAACTTTTCTAAAATTCAAGTTATATTTCCAAGACTGACACCAATTTGTTTACATTAACTGAATTTCTATCAGAAGTACAGTTTTTCCTCCCTCATTCTGAAACCTTGTCACCATCTTTGATCATTCTTTCTCTAGTCACTAAAGCCCATAAACTATTTTCTTGAATAGATTTATCTCTTTCTTTTTTCTTTCTTTTCCTTTGGGTTTGGGCTTTTGTTGGAACTGGGGATAGAACCCAGKGCCTTGCACATGCTGCACAAGTGTTCTACCCGTGGGCTATATCCCGAGCCCCCAGGTTTTCTTTTTTACTGCCTTGTCCCAGAAGCGGTAACACCTCATTTCTAACTTTCCCTAATTATTGTTCTTGTTTCCAGACCCTCTTCCCTTTTCAATGAGATTTATCCTCCTGAAGTGCAGCTTCACTGATCGCTCTCCCATGTGCCCACCCCTAGTTAACCTGGCACAGGAGACCCTGCAGCAGCACCGGAGCTCAGCTGTGTCCCTCCTGCTTTCAGTGAAGACACAGTCGGTGCCCTAAGCAGGCCCAGCCCTTGCACAGAAGTCTCTACCATCCCTCTGACACAAATCCACATGCTCCTACATATATCTCAAGGACCTGGCCCAGGACCCAGCCCAAGGAATAGTGTGTTCTCTTGATTATTATCTCCTATGATAATGCTCTCCATGTGGGAGTTCTTTCACCAATATTAACACAATAAAGGAACTAATGTATCTAAGTAATTCTCTTTTTAAAACCTTTATGAGATATCTTCCACTTCCTTAGCAGTTTGAAGAGGCTGTCCAAAGGGAAGCACTTAGAAAAATTTTAAATGTTCCTAAACATGAATAATGAGATAATATGATTGTCCAGCATATGATAAGTATGCCATAAATGGCAGCAGTTGATCTGATGTGTGTGTGTGTGTGTGTGTGTGTGTGTGTGTAAGTCTAGAATTTGTTAAAAATGTTTATTTTTTAAGACTCTCTTCCAAAAAGAACAGTTTTTAATGAGTCTGTACAGAAGGTTGGGCCCCTTTTTACTATCGTCATTTACTGAGTAAACTTATTTATGAAATTTATAAGTACCTTAGGTACTTACCTTTTTATTACTGAATGAGAGATTTCTTTTTTTTTTTTTTAAATATTTATTTTATTTAGTTCTCGGCGGACACAACATCTTTGTTGGTATGTGGTGCTGAGGATCGAACCCGGGCCGCACGCATGCCAGGCGAGCGCGCTACCGCTTGAGCCACATCCCCAGCCCCATGGATGAGAGATTTCTATCCCATTTCTAATACTGAGTTTAAAATGTATTTGTTTTATTCTCTGAGTTGAAATCTCCCATTAGTGTTTGACCTAAAGCCATATAACATGCTTTGTGTAATGTTATTGTGGTTATTATAAAAGTCACACATTATAATTTAAAATAGTTCAGTAGCTGGGCACGGTGGTACAGCCACTAAATCCCAGCAACCTAGGAGGCTGAGGCAGGAGAATTGCAAAGGTTTTTTTTTTGTTCGTTCGTTTGTTTTTTTGGTACTGAGGATTGAAGCCAGAGGTGCTTAACCACTGAGCAACATCCCCAGGCCTTTTTTAGATTTTCTTTATTTAGAAACAGGGTCTGGATGAGTTGCTTAGGACCTCACTAAGTTTCTGAGGCTGGCTTTGAACTCTTGATCCTCCTGCCTCAGCCTCCTGGGACTGCAGGTGTACACCATTGTACCCAGCTAGGGCCTGTGTTCTTAACCACTGTAACTCCAAAGCTTCGAGTGGCCAGTGTGGATGGTGAAGAGTGATGTCTATTCTTCACAATAATGAGATTGAACAGAATAGATTAAACAAAGGGGAATGAAGGGAAGGCAAGGGAGATAGGAATAGGAAAGACAGTGGAATGAATCTGACATAATTTTCCTATGTATATATGAAAATAAGTGAATCCCACTATTGTGTACATCCACACAATGGGGTTCGAATTAAAATAAGATATAATCTATGCATGTGTAATTTTATCAAAATGGATTCCACAGTCATGTATAACTAAAAATCAATTAAAAATAATAATTTAAACCACAATAATGAGAGGGAGAAACTCTTACCACAACACCAGAAAGAGTAAGAACAATCATTTCTTTAGCCTCAGTTTGTACCGTATGCCATCCTAGCCTCTTTTCTTTACTGTCTAGTCCTCATAAGAAGGCTTGAAGGTCCATGAACTGTTAGCCACATTCCACAGTTGAGGAAACGGCTCAGAGAGCTCGGTCACTTGTGCAGAGACAGAGCTGGGGAATTGAGGTTCTAACTCCAAGGCCTTTGCTTTCGTGCTGCATGGGATCTCCAGATGAGCAGGAAAAGAGAATGCTCCATTGACGTTTGCATATTTTGCAATATTACAGTGTTTCTGTGGCACCAAACTGACAAATCCAGAGGGCACAGTACACATGTTCTGGTTGATTTGGGGAAAGAGGGGATATCAAATCATGGGAAGTTGGCCTGGCTAGGGCACCTGAAAACAGGGCTTCCCTTACTCCCTGGAATTGCTCTAGTTAAAGCCCCTGGAATCAAGTATTTATGAAATAATAATTGCCTCATAAAAAGACAAGTTGTTGTAGACAAAGTATTTCATTTACTTGATGTAGATGTGTTGTTCCCAGCTCGAGACATTTTATTGGACCAAGAAGCTAGTTACTGAAAATCATACCCTAGAAAGGACTTTTGAAATGTAATTGGAATCCTGAGGTAATCCTAGCGCATGCAGGTTGCCTGTGGGCAACTTCTTGAGACCCTGTCTCCAAATAAGAAGAACTGGGATGTAGCTCAGCGGTCAAGCTCCCCTGGATTCAATCCTCAGCACCCTCCCCAAAAAAGAGAGTGAGTATTGGATGGGATGATGGAGGAGCTGAGAATGCTGAGGCAAAAAAAACACCCTACATTTTGAAAGGATATTAGTAAAAAGATCCTGAGTTCTGTGGTCTACCACAACTATACTTCATCACACGTTGAAAGTTATGATGAATAAAACAGAAAATGTAGTTCCCTGGTAGAGTACTTGCCAACATGTGTTCAATTCCCAGCATCCCCAAAAATATAAAAATTGGAGCTTTGGACTAGAGTATAGGTCAATGATAGATCATTAGTCTATCATGAGCAAGACACAGGGTTCAAGCCCCAGCACTGCAAAAGATAAGTAAAATAAAAGCAGAAGTTAGAGCTTTAATATAGTGACAGTAACCTCCAACAACTACTGTTTGTTGTGTTTTTACTGCTTTTTTCCCGTAGATTTGATGATGCCTTGCTGCCATCTCCGAAGTCTGAAGTTTTCTGTGTCTGTGGGTCCCAGAATTTGCTGAAAGATGGAAGAGCCTCAGAAAAATGATGCCACCACAGTGGGCCTGGAAGATGACCCTCTCAAAAGCACGGGCCCTCAGATTTCCGTTAGTGAATTTTCCTGCCATTGCTGTTATGACATCCTGGTTAACCCAACTACCTTGAACTGTGGGCACAGCTTCTGCCGGCACTGCCTCGCTTTATGGTGGGTGTCTTCAAAGAAAACAGAGTGTCCGGAATGCAGAGAAAAATGGGAAGGTTTCCCCAAAGTCAACATTCTCCTCAGGTATGTCGGGATTGCCTGGGTAGCGCAGCTGCTGCAGTGTGGCTTCTTAGTGGCAGTGGGCATGTTTGAAAAGCCTGCAGGCTTGGAGCTGTCCATGGTGGTCATTCTGGATCTGCTAGACTGAGAGTCAGGGAGCTCAGGACCTGAAAATCCAAATTCCCTTCCACACAGCTGACTGCCATTGGTCTATCCTTTATTCCACATTCCAAACTGCCCTCCTGTCTATCTATTTATTTATCTTTAATTTTGAGCAGGGTTTCACTAAATTGCCGAGGCTGGCCTTTCAGAGTCACTGCCTAGCTTGGTTTATATTTACTCTGAATGAAGAAACCAAATAAATTCTGGTTGTCACGCCATTGCTTATAGTCCTATGTTATATAATACTTAGTGATTTTTTTTTTATTACCGAGAACATCCTAATAGACAAAATGGTGACATCATACAGTTATGATTAACTGATATTGATTTTCAGAATCTTTAAATAAACTCTGTGCCCATCATCACATTAATTGAGTTTCTCACACATGGCCAATTGGAGGACCTTTCAGGTAGCTGGTTCTCTCCTCCTTCTCTACAGTGATAAAGTCCTGTGAGGCTTTCCAGGCCTGTCTGGCTTCCTCAGGATTCCCCTCTTCTGTAGCCTTAACAGTGTGTCCAGCCGTCTTGATATCAACAGAGTAACAGAATGCTTCATGAAATCATTAACCCCGCATCCTCTTTTTTTTTTTCTGTTCTGTCAGCTTTGCTTTACCTAAAGGTTAATCTTAAATAGAAGGATGGGTCTCTGATTTTGTGTGATTAAAAATGAAAAGAAGCAGGGCTCCATGGTGCATGCCTGTAATCCCAGTGGCTCAAGAGGCTGAGACGGGAGGATCTCTAATTCAAAAGCAAGGTGCTAAATAACTCAGTGAGACCCTGTCTCTGAATAAAATATAAAATAGGGCTGTGGATGTGGCTCAGTGGTCACATGCCCCTGAGTTCAATCCCCAGTACCAAAAAAGAAAATGAAAAGAGCCAGCCCTCCCGTAAAACCTTGTGTGGGCCTTTTCTTCCTACTGAACTATGCTTTTTTCCCTCCTCATAAACTAATCTTTAATGACATAAGTAATGCATATATACATTCATTATTTTCATTCTTTTAAGCAGAGAAATATTGGAATATTATCGATCAAGCCAAAGACCCCTTTGGCCTTTTCTCCCCCATTTTAGACCTTTTCTTCTTTTTCCCCAGAGTAATTTTATTTATGACTTAGTTGTTGTTTCTTTCATATTTTTAAAAATACTTTTGGGGATGGGGATACAGCTCAGTTGTAAGGTAGATAAATTTGAGACATACATAACATTGAATAAAAACAGTATATTGAAGAACCACCCAGATAGTATGCCACTGAAGTGAGAAAACATTTGTATTTTCTATTAGCACATATGTGTTTAAAAGTATTTTTTTGTTGTTGTTATTGGGCTGGGGACTGAACCCAGGGCTGTGGCATGCGAGGCAAGCACTGTTTTGCTTTGTTTGTCTTTGTTTTTTGGAGGGTATTGGTAATTGAACCCAGGAGGGCTTTACCACTGAGCTAGATTTCCATTTCTTTTTTTAATTTTTTGAGACAGTGTCTCACTGAATTGCCCAGGCTGGCCTTGAACTTGGTGATCATCCTGCCTGAGCCTCCTGAGTCCCTGGGATTACAGGCATGTGCCGCCTCATCTGGCCATTTAGCAATTGTTTCTAGTGTTTTACCATCAGATCTATAGCAGGTATTTTTGTCCTTCTCCTAGGCATCTGATCATTATTAAATGTTGGCTATTGGTTTTATTTTGGCCTTATATTTAATTTCATCATTATATTTAATTTCATCAAACACTTATCTTGTGATTTTCTCTCTTCTCCGTAGAGATGCCATTGAAAAGTTATTTCCTGATGCTATTAGGATGAGATTTGAAGACATTCGACAGAACAATGACATAGTCCAAAGTCTCGCAGCCTTTCAAAAATATGGGAATGATCAGATCCCTTTAACTCCCAACACGGGCCGAGTGAATCAGCAGAGAGGAGGGGGCTTCTTTTCTGGAGTTCTCACAGCTTTAACTGGAGTGGCAGTAAGTCTGTCTCTGTTCCTCTGTGCTCCCCACCCCCATTTCCACTGCAGTCAGTTCTGATTTCTCGTAAACCATTGATGACTGATGATGTACGTGACCGTGTGCGACACACTGTGTACATTGAAACCTGCTGGGCCATGTGATTTCTTCAGGAATGTGGCTTACTCAAGTAGGCCACATAATAGTGCCCAGTAAATGTTAGCTCTGTGCTGTCCAGTCCTCCTCATGACCTCTGCAACAGCTGAGGGCACAGGGCAAAAAGGTGGCAGAACTGGAGTTTGAGACCACGTCTGGCTGGCTGAAGCAGTTGTAAGAACACACCACTTCATTAGGTATTTTTAAGTTCCATGTTGCGAAGACCTAAATGTTTTTCCTATAGAAAAGGCACAAGTCAGTTTTGCTGGTGAGTCAAGGATGTATCTGCTTCTAGGCACCCTGCACTCAGTTCTCTTCTGACCCCTGTTCCCTCACTGCTCCACAGTGAGCAGAGACATGAGTCCAAGGACAGTTTTGCCCTCCGGTTCTCCATGGTGGTGGCATTGTCCCTCCTCCCTGTACACAGCTGGCATCATTCCTTCAGGCTCACCTGTCAGCCCTGTCCTAGGCTCCTGCACTCAGAAACTGGCCTCTCCTGTTCTAAGGTCCCTGTCCCTTTCCCTAGGTGGTCCTGCTTGTGTATCACTGGAGCAGCAGGGAATCTGAGCATGACCTCCTGGTCCATAAGGCTGTGGCCAAATGGACGGCGGAAGAAGTTGTCCTCTGGCTGGAGCAGCTGGGCCCATGGGCCTCTCTCTACAGAGACAGGTTTTTGTCTGAAAGAGTGAATGGAAGGTGAGGAGCATATTTTCTGACACGCCATGGATATTTTTGGCAAAAGCTTCATTGAAGTCACGTACGGTGGCATCTGCCTATAATCCCAGCAACTTGGGAGGCTGAGGCAGGAGGATTGCCAGTTCAAAGCCAGCCTCAGCAACAGCAAGACCCTGAACAACTCAGTGAGACCCTGTTTTTAAATAAAATAAAATAAGGCTGTGGATGTGACTCAGTGGTTGAGTGACCCTGAGTTCAATGCCCAGTACCAAAAGAAAAAGAAAAGGCCTCATTGAGATAGAATACACATGTCATAAATTTCACCCCTCTTTTTTTTTTTCTTTTTTTTTTGGTGGTTCTGGGATTGAACCCAGGGCCTTATGCGTGCAAGGCAACCACTCTATCCCCAGCTCAAATTTACCCATTTATAATGAATACAATACAGTTGGTAGTTTTTCCATGTATTCATAGATAGGTTTAACTATCACCACAGTATAGTTTTAGAACATTTTCCTGACCCCAAAAAGAAAGCTCCTATCCTTTAGTGACTCCTTATTTCTCCCTCTCTAATCCCCTGGAAAACACTGTTCAATTTTTTGTCTCCAAAAATGGATTTATCTTTTCTGAACTTTTCATGTAAATGAAGTCATAGAATATGTGGCCTTTTGTGTTTGGCTTTTCACTTAGCATGATGTTTTCAAGGATCACCCTGATGTAGCACATATTAGTGCTTTATTCCTTTTCATGACTAATAAATGCTTTATTGTATGGATAGACCAAATTTTCTTCATCTGTTCTTCAGTCGATGCACATTTGGGTTGACTCTGTTTTGGGCTATCATGAATACTGCTGCCATGATGATTCATGTGCAAGTTTTTGTGGGGACATATATTTTCCATACCCCAAGTGGAATGTCTGGGTCATAGACTAACTCTGTTTTTACCTTTTTAAGGAACTCTCAAAACTATTTTTCACAGAGGCTATCCTATTTTATGTCAGTGACATTTTAATTTTTTTGTTGCTTCCTGATTATAAAAGTAGCATACATTTAAAAAAATAATATAGGGTTATATGATTTTTTAAATTATTTTTTCAGGTGTCAATGGACCTTTATTTTTATTTATTTGCATGCGATGCTGAGAATTGAACCCAGTGCCTCACACATGCTAGGCAAGCACTCTACCACTGAGCCACAACCCCAGCATGGATTATATGATATTGAAAATAAAATATCCTTTAATCCTGTTCTTCAGAGAAAACGACTGTTATTATATTGCTAGATATCTGACCAAAATATTTTTGGAGGGTGAGGGGTGATAGGGATTGAACCCAGAGCCTTGCACATGCTAAGCATTGTACTCTGCCACAAACTCCACCCCACCCTCAGATTTTTTCAGTGTTTATATAGATATAAACACTGAAAAAAATCTGATTATAAAAGTAGCATACTTTTTAAAAAATAAAATAAAGGTTTTGTGTCTATTTTATATGTATATATATATAATTTTTTACATAAACTAAAAATACAATTGTACTAAGTAGACCTATGTTTATGTTTGTTTGTGCATTCATTTATTTACATACATGTCTCTGTATGGGGTTATGTAAATACCAGGTGTTGATGGTACTAGCCACTGTCAGGAGTGGCGTCTGCCAGGCTGCCAGGTTGCCCTGTTGCTCCACCTCCCACCTTAGTCATTCCCCATCACTGAGTTTTTAACACTTGACTCTCTTTGGAGTCATTTTAATTTGATTTTTAAGAATTCGTTTCCCAGGATGGGGTTGAGACTCAGTGGTAGAATGCTTGCTTTGCATGCATGGAGTACTGGCTTCGATCCTCAGCACCATCAATATAAAGTAAAGATATTATGTCCATTTACAACTAAAAATGAAAACATTAAAAAAAAAAAAAAAGAAGAAGAAGAAGAAGAAAAGAAAGAATTTGTTTCCTAGGCTGGGGTTGTGGCTCAGTGGTGAACCACTTGCCTCACATATGTGAGGAACTGGGTTCGATTCTCAGCACCATGTATAAATAAATTAAAAAATAAAATAAAGATATTGTGTCCATCTACAACTAAAAAAAAGAATTAGTTTTCCTTGGGGCTGGGATTGTGGCTCAGTGGTAGATCGTGCACTTGCAAGGCCCTGGGTTCAATCCTCAGCACCACATAAAAATAAATAAATAAAATAAAGATATTTAAAAAAAAAAAGAATTCATTTCCCACTGGGCATGATGGCACACACCTGTAATCCCAGTGGCTGAGGAGGCTGAGGCAGGAGGATCACAGATTCAAAGCCAGCCTCCGAAACTTGGTGAAGCCCTAAGCAATTTAGCAGGACTCTGTCTCTTATAAAAAGGGGCTTGGGTTGTGGCTCAGTGGCTAAGTACCCCTGGGTTCATACCTAGCACCAAAAAAAAAGATCCCCCCAAATTGTATCAGTAATGATTTATGAAATTTTTAAATATATTTTTATATAGTAACTGGCAAATAGTAGTCATTCAGTTATTTGCTGTTATTAATACTGCTACATCTATGTAAGCTTGAAGTGTTGTCATTGATAAATGGGACTCAGTGTGGAAAATTTGCTTCCAGTATGTGATCTCAAGAGAAATCTACCTCACCCCTCCACAGATTGCTTTTAACTTTGACAGAGGAAGAATTTTCAAGGGCGCCATATACTATAGAAAACAGCAGCCACAGAAGAGCCATCCTCATGGAGCTGGAGCGTGTCAAGGCACTAGGTGTGAAGCCCCCCCAGAATCTCTGGGAATATAAGGTAAACTATTTATTCTTTTAATAGAAAAAGTATAGAGTACAACATAGCAATCATGTATATACCCAGTGCTTAACTTAAGAAAGAAAATGGCAAAGGCCCAGTTGAAGTCCCTAACACCCCACCCTCTCTAGAAGCAACTGTGCTCTTGCAGTGGGTGCCATGGATCCTTCCAGAGCTTGTTTTCTTTCTGTCTACTATGGTGGTATCCACAAGCATCAGGAGCATTGTTTTACATGCTTGAACCTTAATGCAAGAGGTATGAATTTTGAGCAGACCCTTCTGCAAGTAGCTTTCGTCTCTGTGACTCTAGTTCCCGCTTTTTCTCTTTTGTTCAGTCTTCCATTGGACACGTGTGGTAATTTGTGCATGGACACTGCAAGAATTTCCATTTTTGCTCTTAGAAGCAGTTCTGCTCTGACACTCCTAGGAAGTTCTTAGGCTTATGTACAGGAGTTTATGATATATGTTGAGGAGCAGAATTATTAGGTCACAAGTAATGCCCATCTTCAGCCTTACTAGACATTGAGAAATAGATATTCAACATAACTGTACCAACTGGTTCTTCACAGACAGGATTCAGTGACTACTGTACTGTAAAGGGAGTATAGTACAGTATATCTGGAATTTACCAGCTCATACCCTAAAAAAGACATCTTGGAGAAAAATATCTAATAGCCAGTGAACTTAAGAGGGGAAATGCTCACTCAAAGTTGAACAGAGTACAAACTAAAGTAGTCAGAAGACTTGGGGGCTGGGGATGTGGTTCAAGCGGTAGCGCGCTCGCCTAGCGTGCGTGCGGCCCGGGTTCGATCCTCAGCACCACATACAAACAAAGATGTTGTGTCCGCCGAGAACTAAGAAAAAATAAATAAATGTTAAAATTCTCTCTCTCTCTCTCTCTCTCTCTCTCTGTCCCCCTCTCTCTCTCACTCTCTTTAAAAAAAAAAAAAAGAAGACTTGGGCTTTTTTTCCCTTGTGCCATTATGAAGGTTGAGAACATTTCATACGAAGAAAGAGGCACTCTGAGTTCTGGTGATCATGAACAGTTGCAATTCTCCTGGTCTCGATCTGTCATTTCATTTCTCTGAATTTGGAATGTAGCAAGACTCTGGGGCCACTTGCTGAGGCTTATAGGCTCCCCAAGGACACACTGACTGCAGGAACACAAGCAAGTACCCACACAACTCTTTGTGCCTCTTTCTTCCTCAATAAAATGACCTCAGCAATTGTTCATTGCAGCATCATTGGTTAGCAGCACTTAGAAAATAGCCCAAGTCCCTATCATTAGGGATAGGTTAAATAAATGAGTCACAGATATTCAAGCTCCCATTCATAAAGGAGGAGGTGACTGTGCTAATGAGGGAGGAGAACTGGGGTGTGGCTCGGGAGTAGAGTCTAGCATGCATGAGGCCCTAGGTTCTACCACAATGCAAAAATGAAGAAGGAAGAGGATGTTCAACTTGTATTGATTGCTAACTAAAAGAAAAGCACATTAGAAAATATCTGCATGTGTATCTACACATACGTTTGCATATAATAGAAAAATCTAGAAAGATATCCAAACTTTGTTTTTCTGTTTTTAATGCTAAGAATGGAACATAAGGCTTCGTGCATGCCAAGCAAGCCATCTCTCACTGAGCTACATTCTCAGCCCCCAACTATTGAAAGTGGCTTTATCTGGAGAATAAAATCAGATGGGAGGGGAAATTCTGTCAGCTAATCATCTCTGCATCATTTGAGGGAAAAAAAAAAATACTGTGTGCATTTATTGCCTTTTTAAAAAACTTATTTCAAACTTTTTAAAGAACAGGTATGGAGTTCCTGAGTTGGAAAGTTTGTTTTGTATTGTTTATTTTTAATTTAAAAAATCCTACTTCTTTTTTATCATAAACTATTAATTCAGCTAATGTAGTTAAACCATAGACTTTATGTAGCCAATATTGGTCCTAGCATGGCTTTTAATACTGACATGACATTTCTGACCCTCTAAATATGAACACACAGTGACCATCTAATTAAAATATGTACACGTGCTCTTAATATTAACCAGAACAAATGGGAAATTTATTTTGGCACAGGCATCTGCCACTGTATCTGGCAAGTGAAAGACTAGGAAAAAAAGATACAATATGTCTGTCACTCCCAGAAGTTTCCTCCTGACCCTTTGAAAGCCTTCCCTCCCACTACTCTCCATTCTAATAGGTGTACAGTTGTCTCTACTGTCATTTTAATATGCATTAAACCAATGACATTAACCATCTTTCACCTCTTACTTGCCATACTTATATCTTCTTTGGTGAAGTGTCCATTTTTTAAAAAACATGTATTTTTTAATTGTAGTTGGACACAATACTTTTATTTTATTTATTTTTATGTGGTACTGAGGATCGAACCCAGGGCCTTGCACATGCTAGGCAAGCACTCTACCGCTGAGCCAATTCCCACCCTTAAGTGTCCATTTTATTTGATGCTACTAAGAGTCAAATAAATTGAATCATTTCTAAAGTTTTTTAATTAGGAAAAAATAAATATTTATTCACTATAATAAAATTTTGAAAGATTTACAGAAGTGAAGAAATTGCCCATAATCAACACAATTAGCATTGCAGTTTGTTCTCTTTTCTCTTAGTCTATCCTATGAATAGTTTTAAAAAGCCCTTTTGTTTGTTGATTCATGCAACAAACATGTATTGACCGTGTGTTAAAAGCCAGGTGCTCCTCATCAAGGGACTACAGACCTTAGTAAGACCCTGCTGTCCTGGTGCTAACACCAGCAAGATCATTTTGCTACATATCCATGAGTCTTTTTTCACCTAACTTTGTTAGCATTATCTAAAGCATCTTATACTCTTTTTATTTTTTATTTTTTATTGCTGAATTGCTGAGGCTGGCCTTGCACTTGGATACTCCTGCCAATCCCAAATCCCTAGGATTACAGGCATGTGCCACCATGACTGGCTCATACTCACATTTTAATGAACATTTGAATTCCATGCATAATATCTCATGTGCTTTGCTTAGGGCTCAGATATCTGTGGTTTTAACTGTTAACACACAGCACAACATGAAATGTGAAGCCTTCTCTAGTTAAAAGATTATTTTCATTAAGTGGTGCCCACTTACAGATTGGTTAACTTAAACATTTAAGACTGATATATTTTGCCAATCTGCTTTCCCAAAAGGTGTTCTAAGCTTCTCAACAGCCCCCAATAGAGATTGGATTTTTCTACAGAGTAGCCCAACAGATGGATTATTTGGCCTCTTCCTGCCATTCATTCACCCATTGTTTGTGCACACCATGCAGAAAGGCTGATGGCAAAGGACACAAGACCACTGAAGGAGCACAGGTGGGGAGCTGGCCACTGTGGTTGTAATGGCCCTGTGCCTGCCTTGTCCTCTGCAGGCCGTGAACCCAGGCAGGTCCCTGTTCCTGCTGTATGCCCTCAAGAGCTCCCCGAGACTTGGTCTGCTGTACCTGTACCTGTTTGACTACACAGATACCTTCCTGCCCTTCATCCACACCATCTGCCCTCTGCAGGAAGACAGCTCCGGGGAGGACATCGTCACCAAGCTTCTGGTAGGTCTGCAGAGTGCCTGGAGTGGAATCGGAGCTGTGGCTGTAGGCTGTCAAGGAAGAGCAACCGATAACTAGCCTTCAGTGAATTTTGCAGGGAGAGCCCCTGCCAAAGAAAGTAAAGTAAGACTTTCCCCACACCCAGAAACCCATTTAGTTTTTTGCATTGCATAGCCAGAGGGGTAACCCTCTGGACTTAAAATATTCCTTTAAAAAAAAAAGCAATTTCTTGTCTCCTGACAGGACCCCAAAAGGATGGTTACCTGTCCTTCCACAAGACAGGATTCATATGTGCCTTACTGTTCACTGGGGTGATTTCTCCCTGTTTAGTTGGTCATTTGAGAGTAGTCCTTTGCTTTGCTTCCCATAGGGCTAATCCTTCTGATCTGTTTGTATTAAAAAGTGTCATGGGTATAGGAATTGTTATATGTAATCTATACCTGTCCAATATTGAAACAATTTCAAAATCTCCAAAGAACCTTTTTAAACACTACCTTCACTCAAGTGACTTCAGCCTTGAAGGCAGTTTTTAGGTTTTGTTTTTAAAAGGTTTTTTTACAGTGCTAGGGATTTAGCCCAGGGTCTTGCGCATGCTACACAGTCACTCTACCACTGAGCTACCCCCCAGTCCTTAAATGCAGTTTAAAACCTGAGTAATGAATTTACACAGTATTTCCTCTATACTCAGTTTCCAGCTGTTATCTCTCAACTTGGAGCACAGAAATTGTAAAATGTTTCCCTTTTAACAAGTTGTAACAATCCATACTTGGTCAGCAAGCTATTTTTTATTAATATTTTTAGTTGTAGATAGACACAACACCTTTATTTATTTGTATGTGGTGCTGAGAATTGAACCCAGTGCCTCACATGTGGGAGGCCAGTGCTCTACCACTGAGCCACAGCCCCAGCCCAACAAGCTATCTTTTTTATTTGCAAATGTCTATAATTGAAAACTTAGCCAGTGCAGTGGCACACACCTGTAATTCCAGCAACTTAACCAAACCCTCTCTCAAAATAAAAAGGGCTGGGATGCAGCTCTATGATAAGGCGGTCCCAAGTTTAATCCCCAGTATTGCAAAACACACACACAAATCCAAAAAATTACTTTGTTAAGGTATGTAGATGTCTGTTTTTAATTTCCCTGCTCTGTTATCATTCTACCACAGCTAAGATGTCAAATTTAGGAAGTGTTTTGAGTTGTCCACACAGTGACAAAAGAGTAAAACGCTGGTTAATTTAAAATCATTTCAACTCTATTGCTCATAACACATGCCTGTCTAGATATAACTTCTGAGCTTCCACGTTATGTAACAAGCACCCCAGATCAACCTTTTTGGTAAGAATTAACTACTTTAAGGTTCATTATTATAAGAGAATTTGATGGCTGAAATTATTATTTTAGATTGTTAGGTTCTTATGTATGTGTGTGTTTTAACAAACATGACGCTCCTTGATTAATCTTGTATCAAAATCAGTCCACATGATTTTTGTGTCTGGATGTGTTCTTTTTTGAGGATCTGAGAGAGCCCACTTGGAAACAGTGGAGGGAATTCCTCGTCAAATACTCCTTCCTCCCATACCAGCTGATTGCTGAATTTGCCTGGGACTGGCTGGAGGTCCACTACTGGACATCACGGTTTCTCATTGTTAACGCCATGCTACTCTCGGTTTTGGAGTTATTTTCTTTTTGGAGGATCTGGTCAAGAAGTGAGCTCAAGTAAGTGTGTTTCTATGTAGAAGAGGGTTGAAGCAACAGGGCTGGGAAAGAAACAACAAGTAGGGGAAAGGTCTTCAAAGCATTTCACATAGTTGAAAAGGGAAAAAAATTCCTTCTTCTACCAAGACTCATCAGACTCTGGTTTGAGAAATACTGCATGTGCAGTGAATAGGAAAATCACCTGTTTAGGAGGTGGGGGTTCTTTGTGTTCATTGTTATTAAAGTGTTTTCCTATATATCTTATTCCCACATAATAACAGATCATGTTGTTATTCAACTTTCTGTGGCTATGACAAAATACCTAAGGGAGAAAAACAACTTAAAGAAAGATTTATTTTGGATCATGGTTTCAGTCCATAGTCAGCTGGCTTCATTGCTCTCAGGCCCATGGTGAGGCAGAAACAACATGGTAGAAGGGTGTGGCAGAGAAAAGCTGCTCACATATGGTAGCCAGGAAGCAGAGTGAGAGAGGCAAGGACGAGATGGACCCAGGCCAAGATGTAGCTCCCAAGGGCATGCTACCAAGGACTCACCCTTCAACCATGTCCCATCTCCTATAATTTCTGCCACCTCCAATAGCTCTGAATCCATCAATGGATTAATCTGTTGATGAGCTCATGATTCAATCACTTCCCAAAAGCCTCACCTCTGAATATTGTGCACTGAAACCAAGCCTTCAACCTGTGAGTCTCATTCTATTCCAGATCCAAACCACAATTCCCATAGGGTGTGTATATGTGAAGGATTTTACTAATTAAGGAATAAGCAAGTGAGAAGAAGAGAGTCCTTTGTGGAAAACAGTAGTATGTTAGAACATAGACCTGTTAGGGAATTCTGTAGGCATGCATCTGACCATGCTCTGCCACCAACTGGGACAAGAATAGCTTCTAGATTGATTCAGGAAATGAGAGCATTAGACGAGACAGTCTCTGGTTGCAAGTGACAAAAACTAGCCTAAATTGGCTTTCCTAAAAAGGAAGTGCCTATTCAGGGCAGCAGGTGGGATTGGCCCCCGAGACCCAGGTGCTGTCCTCAGGCTGACTGTCTCCCTCTCCTGGTGCTATTCTTTCCTGTAATTTAGCCTGTCATTGGCTCTTCTCACATGAGAGCCTTTTGCTGCTCCAGACTTTGGTTGGACCACCTTACCAGCCTCCCCCTGGTGGGATGGAAGCCCTTCTTTCCCCGTGACACTTGTAACAAGTCTCAGGGCCCATGTGCCTTTGCTCTGGTTGGCCCAGCCTGGATCCCATGTGCAGGACTTTCCTTGTTCAGGCTCATGCATGTGTTTACCCCACAGCTAGTAGCTGGTTCCACCCTGACCCATCATTCCACATGGAAAGAATAGAGGAAGGAGGGCTGAGGTGTGGCAAAGTGTGTGGCATGCTTCAGGCAATCTCCAGTACCCCCTGCCCACCCAGAATAGGAAGACTAGGGGAGGGAAAGCAAAACTCAGAAGCTTTTCCCAGAAGGGGACAAATACTGAGTAGACAGAAGTAATACATCTGCTACTTTCTTTCATCCCGACATCCATGACTTGCAGGATTCTCAACATCATCAGTCAGAAGCAGCCAAATAAATGGCTCTGGGAATCTGCCAGGAATCCCTCGTGGATTTTTATTCAGCAAACTCATTTATTCATGCAGAGAGTATGCATATTTATGACCCTGCTACACCCCTGGCTCTCTGTGGGACCCTGCATATCTTTTGGTAAAAATACAACAGTCTATACTAAGAACCTACAGCCTCGCAAAGAAAGTATGTTATGTTAAGAAACTCATAGAAGGGCTGGGGTTGGGCTCAGTGTGAGGTGCTGGGTTCGATCCTCAGCACCACACAAAAATAGATTAAATAAATAAAGATATTGTGTCCATCTACAACTAAAAAAAATTAACAATAAATAAATAAAAAGAAAGAAAGAAACACATAGAAGTGGGATGGCGATGGAACGGCTCAGGTTCCAGGTGTGTGGTGCAAGGACCAGGCAGCAGTGCCGCGAGGAAGCACCCATAGTCTGTTCCTGGGAGCCAAAAAGGAGTTGGTTGTGCAAAGGTGTGTCTCAGGCCCTAGGGACAGAAGACAAGGTCTCTGTGGGCCAGAGACTGGGAGAGCGCAACCCAGACCTGAGCCCTTGAGCACTGAACTGCCCTGAACCATTTCTTTTCTCTTTTCAGGACACTTCCTCAGAGGATGTGGAGCCATTTTTGGAAAGTGTCAACACAGGGGCTTTTTGTGGCCATGTTCTGGCCCCTCATCCCCCAGTTTGTGTGCAACTGTTTGTTTTACTGGGCCCTGTATTTCAACCCAATCATTAACATTGATCTCGTGGTCAAGGAAGTTCGAAGACTGGAAACGCAAGTGTTGTGACTGGCACTGTCCGGGCTCTGAGCGGGTCCTCCAGTCTCCCCAGTGCCTGAGCGGATGCTTTGGAGGGTGAGGGAAGAGGAGACTTCCTGTTTCTACCCCTGGTAAACAAGGTGCTGCTTTGTAGGACAAAGGCTTCAACCAGGTCCTCTCTTCTCTGCCTGTGGCACACCATGGCAGCAGACTAACACCCCAGTACCTGGAGGACTGTCTGTGGCCCACACAGCCGCCGCCTCACAGGGACCTGGCTGGCTCAGGCCACCATGGCTGGCAGGACTCAGGGTCCTCAGAGGACACAGTGTGGGTGACGTCAGAAGGCCACCACATCGGCATCTCCCTCCCTGCCTCAGTTAATGACAGGTTCCTAGAGCCAAGACTAGGCTTGTTTGGGCCAGGCCTGTCCTGTACGTCAAGTTTAGGAAGACAGAGATAGGGTTTTTGTCATAGGCATAAAAAGTTACACATTTAAAAAAAAAAAGCGGGGGGGGGGCGGGGGGGAACCCAGAATCCAATCAACAATTCTGTCTCCTTGGGTAGTTGCTGGGTTTCAGAGGAAACCTCTAAAATGATTCAGTTTGAGATTAGAATGATGGTCGGCTTTTCCTCACTGTTTTTTTGTCGTTGTTATTGTTGGTTTGTTTGTTTTCTGTTTGGGGTGGGGCTCCCTTTCTCTGAGCTGGGATTTGAGTGGCTTCAGGCAGCACCCAGAGCTCCCCTCAGGCTAAGCTGCATCAGGCTGCTTAAAGGCATTGCTTTGGGGTTTTGTTTTGTTTTGTTTTTCAGAATTTAATCTGTAATATCCAGGATAGACTCTGCATTCATGCATTGAAGGAAACATTTTATAAGTTGACCTCACACTGTAAAATGTGTAATCTTTATTGTCCTCTTGTGGTATGTGAGCAGCTGGCATAATTATACCAAGTGCTGTAATTGTGCACACAGAGTGGGAGAAGGGCGGCCTTTGTTTTCCTCAGTGTGAAAACTGCAGGTGTGAAGTGTGAGCTGTGGACTGCCTGGAGAGGAAAACTTTCATCCACAGTGTGGGGGAGCTCCATGAACCATTCATAAACCCCTTCCACCCTTAAGTGAAGATTTCACTCAAACTTTTCATCTTAAAGTTTGCAGAAATTACTTGAAATAAAAATAAAAGATTTTTATACAGATAAATGCTCTGTATGGGGAAAAAAACTAGTTGTTTAGGAAACACAAATTCACATGCCCAATATAATCTGCTGGTCCTACTAAAGTCTCAGGCTTCATGCAGACCCACAGTGAGCCAAGGTGTCTTCTGTGGAAAGAGGGAGAATGTTCTTCCTTGTTTGCTCATCAGGCACCAGGACTGCCTAACTTTACCTTTTTATACTCTGAATGCCAGAGACACTAGGGGACCCACAGTGTGTACATCCCTGGCCCTATGGGGTTACTGGTATTCTTTCTCAGTGAAAAAGTGGGAGCTGTTTGGCATGGGTACAGCTGGCCCCAGTTTAGATCACAGGTTGCCAGAATCCCAGACCTGTACCTCCAACCCCCACCTCTTAGCCTCCCACACTGCCCAAACCCCCTTCTAAGATGAGTTAATACCAGATCTCTGGGAGGGAGGACAAAGAAGATTTGGCCAAACAGGTAGACTGGGCACTTGCTTCTTAGTGCCAGCAGAGATAGACATGCTGAGATCAGGGCTGCCTCTCGCATCTCCTCCCTGCTGTCAATCCAGGTGGCTTAGGAGGACCATAATGGGTGTCCATGTGAAATATTTAGACCTTGTGATTGGATTTCTCCAAATCCAGCCAAAGAAAAATTAAAAAGCATTGGGAGGAATATTTATTCTTTGGCATCCCACCACAGGGATTGACTGAAACAGGAAATACTCCAAAATCCAAAAGTTGGCAATCTACACAGTGGCATCTGTTCAGGTATAATGGTGCACAGTTGTAATCCTGGCTACCCAAGAGGCTGAGGCAGGAGGATTGGAAGTTCCAGACCAGCCTGAGTAACATCCCAAAATCCTCTCTCAAAATGAAAAATAAAGGGGCTGGGGATGTGGCTCAAGCGGTAGCACGCTCGCCTGGCATGCGTGCAGCCCCGATTCGATCCTCAGCACCACATACCAACAAAGATGTTGTGTCCGCCGATAACTAAAAAAAATAAATTCTCACTCTCTCTTTAAAAAAAAAAAAATGAGGGGGCTGGGTGGTAGAGCGCTTGCCTAACACATGTGAGGCACTGGGTTCGATCCTCAGCACCACATAAAAAAAATAAATAAATAAAGTGTTTAAAAAAAATGAAAAATAAAATGGACTGGGGTGTGGCTCAGTGGTAGAGCCCTTGCCTAGCATGCTGGAGGTCCTGGGTTCAGTCCCCAGGATTGGGGGGAAAATTTTGTCTAATACAAGAGGAGGTTTCCAAAAGGCTTTTTGTTTTAATGACATGGCACAAACCTTATGAAAAAATCATAGTGTGTCAATACTTTTTTTAAAACTATAGAAAAGACCAGTGAACAGCACACTAAAATACTGAAAGTGTATTCCCCATGTGGGGATTGGAGTGATTTGGGTTTTGTTTTGTTTTTCTGTTGTTCTGTATTTTCATTTCTTTTTCTTTCCCTGCCCCAAATAAATAAGCATGTACTACCTTGGAAATCAGTAAACAACTTTTTTAAATGTTATGTATGTGTGTGTGTGTGCCGGGGACCAAACCTAGGGCCTTATGCATGTTAGGCAAACATTCTACCATAACTGAACTAAATCCCCAGCCCAGGAAATAATGTTTATTTTATTTTAGAGATGGGATCCCTCTATGTTTCCCAGGCTGGCCTCAAACTCCTGGGGTTTGTCCTCCCCAGGAAACTGTTAAAGGTGGAGTGGGATGGGGAATACTCTGTTAAGCAAACAGCTATGAAACTTGAATTTCACAAGGGCGAGTGTCCCCTGTGTGTCTTCTTTATTGCCGACACAGAGCTACAACATGGCCAAGTGCCCAGCAGGTATCGGCGCTCATTTGACCACCAGCCATAAGCAGCAAGTGAGAAGACAAAACCCACCTTTTAAAAAAAGTCGAACTAACCACAGAAAACGATACCAAGCTCAACACAGTCATGGTTTTATAAAATAGGAATGGGACTTTTGACCTTCATCAAACTGGAAGCAGACTCAATCTGAGTTCCAGGCCGGAAGGCAAACACAAGGCTCACGTGGCTTTATCACTTGGCCTCAGTTGCCTCCTCCAGAAACTGAATTCTGTTGTTCATTAATGAAAGGGAGCTTTATTTCCTTTTGCAAATGAACACGGAGTCAGTCACACTTGGGTGAGTCCTCCTCACACAAAGACGGGGGGTAGAAGAGGTACTTAAAGTTGTACTTGGTACCGGCTAGGCAGTAAGCAATCTCCTTGTCACACTTACACAGGAGCTTCTGGCATTCATCATCCGTGGATCCTGGAAGGAGTGGAGAGACTGGGGTTAAACCCTGCAGAAACTCCAGGGTCAATGCCAGGGAAACCAGCACAGCTGGGCAGAACGGGTCAGGTGTGGCATGTGTGTATGTGTGGAACAGGACATCTCGCCAGGTGCTCTCCATCAGCTTGTCCCCTCCAGGAAGGAGGGCATGTCAGCCCCTGTGAAAAGGAACTTAAAATTTCAGATAGACAGTCTGATGTCCACACAATTCTGGCTTCTCTTCTGTGTCACATTATTACTGTTTCACTTGGGGATCTGCTTAGATAAGACAGTAGGGGCCTGGCAGCCATCCAGGCCTGGTTTGACCCTCCTTCAGGCCATGTGACTTACCTAAACTTTCATTTAAAACAGGAGCAGTTCTGGAGAGGCAGCCCAGGGGTAGAGAGCACTGGCCTACCATACACAAGATCCATCCCCAGCCCTCAAGAAAAAAAAACGCCCTGACTGTAGGTAGCCATCACATGACCCCTATCACCCCTCCCTCCTGGGCTAACCTTTTGAGGACATGCAAAGATAAATCCCCTCTAGCTGGGGAATTCCACTTAACTCATTAATTGGCTTGGGAAGACTTTGTAGTCTAAAAGTCATGTTATTAATATAGATGATGTCACTCCTTTGACAGCCATGGGTACACCCACTATCTTTTAGTGTGCACTTTTAATTTTTGACATAATGAACAACTTTCACTATCAAATTCTTCTAATCTCCTTCAAAAGGCGTGGTGAAGAAGTGGGAGCTTGGAAAATGGCTAGCTCAGCCATGGTTTTAGAAGCTTTGTGCCTTTAAACACATGCATGAGAAACTAGAAAAATCAAACCTGGGCCAGGAGCGGTGGTACTTGCCTGTAATCCCAGCAACTCCAGAGGCTAAGGCAAGAGAATCTCAAATTCAAGGCCAATTTAAGCACCTAAGTGAGGCCCTGTCTCAAAAAGGGCTGGAGATGTGGCTCAGTTGGTTAAGCGCCCCTGGGTTCAATTTCTAGTACCCTCCCCCCACTCCAAAAAAAAAAAAAAAACCTACGGAGATAAAGTTCTAGAATTAGTCTAGTTAGATGATGATGCCTGCCTGCCTGCAGGCTGTGAGGCTTCAAATGGGTGTGTGGGTTTTATAAAAAAGAAATTAGCAAGATTTGGTAGTCAATCCATCACTTAACACAGAGACACTTCCTCTTGTCTACTTGGAAAATAGAAGGTTGGAAGGGAAAAATCTCACTCTAATTCATTTGTTAAGCTTCTGTGTAGAGCAAGGCACCCAGAAGAACAAGTCTCTGTTCCCAGACCTGAACAGTCTCCAAAGGCAGAGTCATCAGCACTCCGCTTTGCGGAGAAGAAACCCTGGAAGGCATGGGGAGACCAGCACCCCCACCCAGCTCTGCCCAACTCAAGCCTCCAGCATCCAACTCCAGAGACGGGATGGGGTATTGACTGGGACCTTTAAGGTCCAAGTTATAACAGGATTATTTAAGAGTTTTACTGGCATGGGAAACAGCTTATAGGTAAGAGAAAAATAAGGGGTGCAAAACATACTATATATTTTTTTAAAGAAATAATTTTTTAATATTTATTTTTCAGTTTTCAGTGGACACAACATCTTTATTTTATTTGTATGTGGTGCTGAGGATCGGACGCAGCGCCCCGCGCATGCCTGGCGAGCGAGTTACCGCTTGAGCCACATCCCCAGCCCCGCCATTATATTTTTTAATTACATCTTCATAAAGGAAAACAGGAAAAACACCAGAAGGGAGAGTTGTCTGGGGTAGCATCATTGGGAGTTTAATTTCCTCCACTTTTATACCTTGTCATTTCAAACATTTCTACTTTGGGCCATATGATGCTTTCATCATGGAAAGAAAATCCATTTTATTTTATTTTTTTTAAAGAGAGAGTGAGAGAGAGAGATTTTTTTTTTTTAATATTTATTTTTTAGTTTTCGGCGGACACAACATCTTTGTTTGTATGTGGTGCTGAGAATGGAACCCGGGCCGCACGAATGCCAGGCGAGCACCCTACC